GGAAATACTTTCTGCTTTGCTGGGAAGAAAGAAAAAAAATAAAGAGATTTAAAGTTTAAACCTTTTTTAATTTCACATTTAAGTGAAGAGTTTTCATTTAATAAAGCTGCATTGGATGTTAATATCTTTCGCTTGATAAAAAGCAAGTAAATAAGCATAACTTTAAAAAAATGTTTTTGACAACATAAAAAAAATAAAAATAATTTGCAAAGAATGGTCCATAATTTCAACAGACTTAAAAGATTTCATATTATTGTGTAAAGATACGGGGCCGGTTTAAATGTTAGCTTAAGTGTGTGTTTGTGAACGAGTAATTTCAACAAAATATTTTATTTTTAAAGAAGTTTTGGTGTAATTGCATTCGGCAAAGTCATGTCTCTCTCAATTCTGCCACACTACCAGATATTTTTAGAAGTTGTTTGAGAGAATGACCACTTGGAAAACTATCTTTCCGAGCAAAAACCATAAAGGATGTTACGGCTATTGTCAACTTTGACATGGGTTAATCAGTTAGTGTTCAAGAATCTAAATTTAAAAAAATAAATTCCGACACTGATGCATACTCTAAAAATCCGTTATAGCGTAGCATTTGAATTATCAAAAAGAAAGCACGTGGAGTAAATGCAGTTACTACACTCAGTTGAGGGTTCAAATACGTTCTACTCTTTCCCAAACAGAAAAAATACTTTGAAATAGATTCGCCCACATAAAGTACACATCAGAAATGGACCAATCTCAAATAGAAACCGTGCTTCTATGACGTGGGTATAGGGAGACATCAATACACCGAAATGATTAATTCAATATTGATATTGAAAGCAAGATGTTACACTGAGAGTTCCCCTCTCCTCCCGAAAACAAGCAGTTGTCTGACAACGAAACAACCGTATCTGGATTGAAGATCACTAGTGCTTCCCTCGCAGGTTCCCCTCCCCTCAATCTCCAGGTTTTGATATTAAGATCTCCTCCCTCCTTATGTGTCCAATCCAATCAGCGCAGAGCAGCAAATTCTCAAATGAAAATCTTTACTACATAATTTTACTGATGCAGTCGACATCTGTTTCACCAACCATAATCGATGATATTAGTTATTAATAATAAACCAAGTGAGACGAAAAAAGTTTAAACTAAAATATAGTTACGTACGAGAGTTTTAAGTTTCATTTAAAAAAAAAAAAAAAAAAAAATGTTTTATAACAATGCATAAAAAAGTATTTTCAATTATCTGGAGTTTAGTTCAATTCTGATGGTAATCGAAAACAAAGTAAGAGCAGGAGACAAGTTAATGGCTTCTTTTTAACAGTGCGTTGCTTTTAGATAGAAAAGAAGGGGGGACACGACCGGGGGGGATAAATCGCCCCCCCCCTTAACGGCCGCTATTTTTGCGCTAAATAGGAAACTGCGTACGTGCGAGCGCACACACGATAACATGAAGAGACTTGCTTGTTAATAAAGCGCCGTCCAACAAAAGAAAAGTCAATTATAAAGTATCAAATATATGCTGTATGAACTTGTTCACCGATCTACAAGGAAAAACTCCAATAAACTGATTTTTTAATAGATAAAAATTTGAAACATTCTAAAAAGAATGAAAATACTTAAGAATTTACATTTACTTTAAAAGGTTTTTCACCCAAACACATTTTAAACTGAAACCAGTGTCCGCAGATGGACAGTTTACACACTATCTTTTCAAGGGAGATAGTTCTAATTTTTATAAATATACTTTTACGATATAAAATTAAATACCATATGTATTTAATTAAAAATTATTAAGTAGAAAAAAAAAAGTTACACAAGGCGAGGGAGAATAGCACTTTTAGAATGACAGACACCCATGTCACAAAGAAAACGAGGGTCGAGAAAAGACAGACAAAGAAGTGGTGGTGGGGGTTCTGGCAGTTCTTTATTTGCTTTTCTGATCATGACAAAAGGCGATCGACCTTTGTTCAAACATAATCCCTTCAATTTTCCAACTTAAAATTGAATTTCTCACTTCATTTCAACATCGAAGTATTTTGGGGTGGTATCATAGCAAAACAGACAACAAAACAAGACAATAAAATCTCATTGGACAAAATCGGTTCCGCACAAGAGAATTGCGCGCGCACACACTTGCTTTGTCTTTAGCAGCAATATATGGAAATTTTAAATTTATACTTTATTTTATGTCATTAGATACCAATCAGCATACAAAAGCAAGCCATCACCCACTTAAAGACTAGTTTGGAGATATTCACTGAAACAATGTCGTAAATATAATAGACACGAAGTTTGTACAAACTGGATATAATCCAACATCAAGGCTATGTCAATGGTTGCAGTAGCAGTATTAAATTTGTCAAAATTCCAAAAAGTGTTCAACTAAGCAACATTGTAGGATAAGAGAAAAAAACATTTTACACAGTCATATACAAATAAAAGTTAAATTCAGATAAACACCCATTTCATGAAACTATTGATAGACGTATCTCATTTACGTAGTTAAGTAAATATTTAGATAATTTCTTTATTTACTAATGAGGAAGAATAAGTTGGACATAAAATGGGGGATCGTTTTCCAAAGCTCTAAAACAGTAGCCATCTATGTATAAAAAGAGAAACGCACCAACTGATCTCTTCGGGATGTCTGCTAACAAAAGACATTCTATCAAAAATCATATAAAGTTGAAGAGGCCATTGCGTTTTTTTCCCCCTTTTTTTTTTTAAATAGTTACATACGCCCATGTCAGATGTTAGTCATTATAAACCTCACTGAATGAGTGATATGAAAATGAATTGATGGAAATGGATGGACCCGCTACTAAACACAGGGAGATGTAAAATAGGAAAGGGGAAGAGAATGAAACAACATGCCTCATCAGAGGAGAGGGGTCTATGAGGAAACTGGAAGGCCAACGGCTAGTGCCGCTTGAAAAGAAAAGATCCAAATGCTTAAAAAGAAAAGATTTTATTAAACCTTGAACAAAAGATGAAAGCCCTGTGGAAAGAAAATGCAATTAAGACTCTAGAAGTGTTACGCTTAAAAAAAAAAAAATACGAAAACATTTGTGACTACAAATATTTTTAAAAGGCAAAAGTTTCAAACGCTCGGCTAATACAAGCGTGTGCACACAAAATTGTATAGGCAAAAAAGAAAAAAAAAAGAAAAAAAGTTACCCTGGCCTCCATAAATTATAAACCCAATCAATGACAAGCCTAAAAAAAAACAAAACCTTAGTATGAAAAAAAAAAAAAAAAAAAATCTGTAAAAAAAAATAAATAAACCAATGATCCTAACGTTTTAAAACTGCTTTTTCCCCCCCTAGTCTCTAAAAAATCTTGGGGCGTGTTCGAAATAAAAATGTTTAAAAGTAGGTAAATGTAATTGTGGGGAGGGAGATAGAAGTGCCAAGACACGTGCTTTGCTTTTATAAAGGATGCCACTCATCGGAGAGTAGGAAGAACATTGAGAAACTAAGTTACAATTTACCACAGACTGAACTAATGTAGAAATAATTCATTAAGTCTAAAATACATAGTTGGGTTGCTTACATGAAATGATCTTTTTACTGATCACCATTTTTAGTATTTACAAATGTGTAGACTGCAATTTGAAGGAAACAACGAGGCCATAATAACGATGAAATGTATTTTTCTACTACATTTGTAATGATACAACACACCCACGTATTTTGTTATTAAAAAGAGCAGAAAATCAAACTGGAGTTGGTAATATTTTTGTTATGACGATAAAGTATTAAAATATAAATAAAACAAATGACGTTAAAGCGTGGTCATTATGGACATCAGTAACAAATTTAGAACCGTACCCACCGATCTCTTTGTTAACTGTTAAGAGAATCGAAAAGGAGGATTTTGCTTTCTTTAATGATTACCAGGAAAAAAATCGTTTAAGCTTACAAAGGTTTTAACGAATATTTAAAACAAAGAACGACTAACAGAGTGAGGAGGTTTTTTTTGGCCTACAAAATCATGTATCTAAAATAAACGTTTTTAATAATTCTTTTATTAAATACGTAAACTAAACATATTTAAAGTTACTAAAAGTAAATTTAAAAATTACTCGACAAATTATAATCATAGGGTTTGAAATATAAAGTTTAACAGACTGACAAATTTCGGTGGTTTAAAAAAATGTTTTTGAAAACACTTCATTTGAGATTTTTTTTTTTTAGAAAGCAAGGTTTAAATATTACAAAGTTATTTTAATATTTAAATGAAAATATAGGTAAAAATAAAAAGGTCTTGATTGTATTTTTTTTTTAAACATAAAAATTGGGGTGACCATAAGCGATTAAATTTATGAAAACGCGAATGTAGAAATACATATTTTTTTCAGTTTCAACTTTCAAGTGATAGAAAATAAATTAAAATCCAAGGTAAAATGTATAAAAAAAGAAGACATTTTAAAACCTTTTGACAAACTTTTATTCAAATAAAATAAAAAAAATTCATAAAGATTTAATCTTTTAGTAGATGAAAAAAAACTTTAAAAAGGAATAAACTCGAAATAGAATTACGCAGATTTTCTTTGCAAAGTCATTATAATAAAAAATAAGACGGCCTTTTCAAGCAGTGGAAAAAAAAAAGACATGCAATTAGCTTTTCAAAAACTAACCTAAAGAATCTAATTTAAAATATTAGAATATTGATGGAAAGTTAAAAAAAATTTCCATATTTAAGAATAAAATACGTCAATAAATACTTATAATTTTAGATAAACGAATTAACACGAAATGAAGAACAGAAACAGGGTAGGGAGAGATGGAAGCGCTGATTAAATAGTTTCGAGAAGCCGAGACAATAAAAACGTTTAAAAGGCGACCTAGCCATGATTGATACAAAGTAACAAGGCCGAGGGGGGAGGTAAAAAGAAGAAAAAAAATAGACATAAAAAAAACAATACGAATAGAACATCACAAAGGACACCATTCGGTGAATCTGCAAGAAAGGAAGAGCGAGGCGTTTTGGCAGTGAATTTTCAATTTGTTACTCACCCGTTCATACTTTTCAAAAACACCAAAAATGCGTCAGTCCGGTCCTCTCTCCTCAAACCACTTGCTCTTAGATGCAAATGGCGGTAAAAACGTCCCCACGCGGGTAGCCGCCGCTGACGATACCCGGATGTCACAAGTACGGTGGGAGGAGGAGGTGAGCAAAGCGACGAAGTAGGAGATAAGAGTTGTAGTAGGAGAAAGCTTGAGAAAAGGAGTAGTCACGAGAAATAAGAGAAACGAGGAGGAGGAGTAGGTGGAGTAGAGAGGACAAAGGCTTTTTACGGACGATGACGGACTTTGACGATTGAGCAAATCGAATTCTGCTGACAGCTTTATTATTTTTATTACTATTATTTTTTAAAATAGATGATGACGATTATAATGAAACTAGTAATAATAATATTTGGTTAATGCAAACAGCCACAAATAAAAAAAAGCAAATTTATTTCTTTTTTTTCATTAAAATTCCTATTTCCTCTGGTGTGTAAATTTGCTTGAATCCAGAAACCGAAATACACTCTTCGTTTCAAAAACGCATGTTAATAAAAGTATTCCGTATTTTAACCTCCTCCTGAATTTGATTAATTGTATTTTATTATTTCACTACCAAACAGTAGTTTTGCAGTTGACAGTGATGTGAGTAGGTATTCGTTGCAGTCGGTGGTTATGTCGATTTTAAAAATAAAATATTCTTTTTTTATCATTCAGAAGCCTCAAAAGTAGATTTGTATCTCCTTGTAAGCACCGGCCTGATGTTTAAATAAATTCCACTTTTATTAACGATATCTTTAGCAGTTGTCGTTGGTTTGTGTGGGAGCAGTGGAGATAAACAGCAACTGTGAGCTGAAGTTGTGTGTAACTGTGTAGTAATATAGAATTAATATCCTTTTAAAGCAAGACGTTGAATAAAATCCTTATTCCTTGTGAGTAGTTATGACCATAAATAGTTTCCACAGGTAAGACAATTAAAAAAAAAGAAAACAAAACAAGAAAAAAAGTAATGAAACAAATTCAATAAAACTTTAAAATGTTATTGGGAAGCCTTTTTGTCCTTCGTTAAAAAAAAAAAAGAAAGAAAGTAAGAGAACTCTTTTGTTTGGATTTAATTTATAAACAAATCGAGAATAAAGATATTTATTTTTTTTTAAAGAAACTATTTCTTAATAATAACTAATATTTCTAATTATATCAAGCAATAAAGATTAATTTTAAAAATCCTTCAAATAGTAATTCAGAAATAAATTATTAATTAAAATAACGAAAACATTTAGAGTAAAAAAAATCTTTTAGTAGCTTTTTTAAAAACAACTGAATATGACAAACATGCGGATTTTCAACAATTGTATTTAAAAACAAAAAAATAAATTCTAACGTGTTGTGGTTGTTAGTTTTTCAACTAATATATCTATTCTATGTATTTGGATTATATAAAGAGAAAAGTAAACGATAATGAAAATAATTCTCTAGTAAGTTGCACGTCCGAGCAAATGAGATGTTTAAGTAGTAGAGATTCACAACACACAGTTAGTATATGACCGAGAAAGTGCCCGGATGAACGAATGTAGTAGTTTCGATTTCACCGTAAACGCAGGGACGAGATCGTCCGAGTTTCTCGACTACGGATGTCTATAAGCGATATAAACTTCTTCTTCGCTCTGCATCACTCCTCCTCACTCACTCACTCACTCACTCACTCACTCCTCACTCCTCACTCAATGTGTGTGTCTCTCTCTTTTTCTCCGTCTCTCTCTTACACACACATATATATATATATATATATATATATATATATATATATATATATATATATATATATACAAGAAAGACGCTTATGCATGTATGTGTGTGTATATGAACGTGCGCGCTCACACTAAAAAGCAAACGCTCGTGCGCGCGCACACAAATAGACGCTTTCTTTTTTTTGTGACAACAATAACGTGAATGATTTATTTTCATTTCTTTCATATTGTTTTCGTCATATTCTTTGGAGAATAGATTTTTATTATTATTAATAGATTGTCCCGTTTTTAGAAATATACGTCAATGTAGGATGATATTTAAAACGTAAAATGTGTGTGTGTGTGTGAGAGAGAGAGAGAGAGAAAGAGGGGGTGCAAGCGTGTGTGTGGATATATATATAGAGAGAGAGAGATAGATAGATAGATAGATAGATATAGAAAGAAAGATCCATTGTAATAAAATATCGTTTCCTGCTAACTTATACACGTGTAAAATAATAATCGCTTCATATTCTAAATCTGGAGTAATAATGGTATCTACAATGTTGGTGTTGTATTTGCTGTTCATCATGAGGCCAGTGATATTACCATTCTTTTTTCACAGTGGTAACCCCCCAAAAAAAAACAAAAAAAAAAACGCTTATTTGTACTTAGCAATAATTGATCTTCATTATTATAATAAACTGTAAAGAACTGAATTTTTTATTCGCAAGTGAATGCTTTTTTTTTTCTGAATGTTATATTTAAAAAACAAGCTTGAATAAACCTGGACCAAGATTAAAATACATTGCTCATGCTAATTTTTTTTCTTCTTTCTTTATTATTTGCGTGAGCGCATCTGTGTGCGAGAGAGGCTAGAAAAGTCACCTCTGTAGACCACCGCGCAAGTGCAAGTGGCACTGAGTGCTCCATTACCGTCGACTTGTGCCAGACTACACTAAACTTGGTAAATATTGACTACCGAAGATTTTTAGACCAACGTAGAACGGTAGTTAGTCTCACAGGCCGTTGTTAGCGAGTTCGGATATCTCTAGATATCGCTCCCACAAAAAAACAAAACAAAAAACGTTTACATTCATTTTGTTTGTGCATGTGTGTTTTATGTTTATATGCACAAACACACACGCACACACACACACATATATATATATATAAGAACATACATGCAGACTAACTAAATAAAATAATAAAATAATGTATGTGTATGTGTGTACGTGTGTATTGCTTAGTGTTGTTACAGTATGGGGCTGACAGGGATTGTATAGAATTGCATAGGTGAGTTGATGACTAACATTTCCCAGATGGAGTTGAAAAATGTTAAAGAAGTCAAATAGAATGTTTCCTAACAATACCTTATTCGTACCCGACTCATTACCAGAATGAATAAGACATTTTATTCTACCAGACTTTTTTTTTTATTTGTCACTCAAAAAGTCTTACGATGAATTTGATATCTTTTTAGCAAAAGCGTATTTTAATTTTACAGATGATAAATAACTGAACTTGCTCCGGGTTTTATGTTTCGATCTCCGAATGTGATGCTGATCCAATAAAAAAGCAAAAAAATTTCACACATCAGTCAACAACCCATTCGACTTACAGTGTGTCTCTTAAGTTTTAAAGTTAATTTTTACAATGCCACGGATATAATTGTTAATTTTATTTCTGTAATTTTTTTAGTATTCATTCACTTTTTGGTACGAAACATGTCCTAAATGCATACCTTTTTTTAAAATGTTTGTGAAAGCAAAGTTGAGTCGTTCGTAAATGACTAATAAACTTGTAAAATAAGAAGTTAGAAGACTAAGACGGATAACGAGTACCGACGAAACAATAAAAAATATTGTATTTTCAGAGAATTTTTTAATTTCATGTTGTTTATAATTAAATCAAGTGTGTGATTTTTTTAAGAAAAAAAAAGCCTTGAGAATGAAGAAAATACTTATAACTTCAACAGTTGAAATTAAAAATGTTCATGTCGCTTTTAGTTTTGTCTATAGAGAAATAAAATGACCCTTTTAAAACTCACGCAATTAGTCGGTTGTTCTAGTGCAAAAATTATGTACTACTTCTTGTAAGTTTATAAACTGTTCTGTTTTTTGTACTGGGACATTTGTTAACAAATAAAACCACAATTTATTTAAAACAAACTAACAAATAAAAAAGAATGAATCAAATTAAATAATAAAACTTGTTGATTTTAATTACTTTCTTGCTAATTTGCAATTGGCAGTTAGTATTGGAATTAATTTTTTTATGAAAGACAATTTCAAGTAAACATAAAAAATATTGTTGCAAAAATAAATGTATTCCTACCAGCTGATGCGTCGTTTCCTGAATATTATGCGTTCATTAACATTGTTTCTTAACATTTTTTATTTTATTTTGATTATACCTGTCATAGTGCAGTGGTACGTGCGGTAGACTTGTTTTCAATAATTTAATGGTAAATACAAACATACATACATACATACATGCATACATACATGACAGAAACGTGGCACTTCTCATATTGTTTTCTTTGAAAATGACGGTAGATTTATTTTAAAATTTTATTTCTGTGGAATTAGTCACCGGTTCATTTTTTTATTATTTAGTCTTCTTCGTTTTCTTCTTCTTCTTCTTCTTCTTCTTCTTCTTCTTCTTCTTCTTCTTCTTCTTCTTCTTCTTATTATTATTATTATTATTATTATTATTACACATGAGAGGACAGTACGACAGCAAAATGACGATAGGGTCACTTTAAAATCTCACTTTGCCCATCGTGGCAAACCAGCCTGTTAAGGGTATATCAGGCACATGCATTACAGCCAAAGGTGACAGGTTTTGGTAGCACATAAACCTGGCAGGTGAGCCTCAGTTAAAATTGTTTTTCGGTTTGCCTTAGCTGCCTCATCCTAAAAAAACAAACAGATAAAAACAATCGCCTCTTGACACCTAGCCAACATGCTTCTACTCTAGTTTCGCTCATGCACAGTACTACTACATCACCCCCATAGGGGACACACCCGACTATTTGAGGTCAAGCAACTGACAAGCAAATCTGTCGTACTAAATGGGATGTTTACTGTAGCCAAGAACGGAATATTTAATTCACTAAGACGAAACATGTACACTTTAACATCTTTAAGAACAGAAACTACGAGAGCTATTTCTTGTGTAGTATCAGGGTATTTATCATCATCATCATCATCATCATCATCATTATTATTATTTGTGTGTGTGTTTGTGTGTGTGTGTTTCGGCAATGCGCTTAACAAAGCACAATAAACAAGACATTAAAATAGTTTAAAAAGAAGTTTATTCTTTCTGTGCGGCCCCGGTACAAAATGGTCCACGGCCCGATACCCGTTGCGCGACCCCCGGTGGTTGGGGACCCCTAGTCTAAGTAGTCTCTAAAATTTTTAGTTCCTTGAGCCTTTTCCAGAGCCTCTTTGGAACTTCCCAGTGCTCTAAAAACAATTTTTACAACTGCCATCTTAATATTCCATATTTTCTCTGAATTCTGGCAAGATCGAGATATTATTATTAATAAAAATAATCATTTAGTCTTCACACTACTAGTAACTGGTGGTTTAATCGGGATATCAAGCGAGAACAAGTCACCTCAATACTCCAACACTCTCCTCAGTATTTGGGCTGATTTAAACAATGTCATTGTCTGAATGGTTTCAATTTTTCTCCTAGTTTCCAGGTCGTCTGTTCTTTATCCAAGACTCTTCAACACCATTCTCAGCGTCCAGATAACTATTGATTATTCACACAAGTAGTAACTGGTAGCCTATACCGGTAATAAAATAACAGCAAGTCGTCTCAATATTTCAGCACCCTCCTCAGTATTCAAACTGTTTTCTCTTTTCAGTAATCCTATTCTTTGGTTGATCCCCACATTCTGTTTTCCAGTCCCACCAGTCTTTCTTGCCCGACTCTTCCAGATCGTTCCCAGTGCTCCAATAGCGACTGACATGACTGTATGTCACCTTCATGTTCTACAATTTCTTTAGCTCCCTGACATGGTCGAAATATTTATTTGTTTCAATTTCTTTTAGATAAACTTCGGGGACTTATGGAACAACGAAATCCCCAATATAACACTAATTCTTCTTTTTCTTTCTAGTTACTTGATCCAGTGTTCTAACCTGGGTTAGGTAATCATCTTGTATCTCAACGCTCTAGAGAATTTTCACTTTTTAATATAGGAAAAATTCTGTTCTGTGCATATAGTATTGGTTTGTGTAATCAAAATACAATCGCTTGCACACTTCCCAGGGAAACACCTTTCCAACTCATGCTTATTCGCGTATTCTTTCGTAAGCAATTGGCTATATTCGCTGATTATAGACTTCTCTGTCTCATCCTTTATTTCCACAGTCTGCATCTTTCTGTTTTCTAGTGTTTTTACCTCTTCTGGCCTGTATATAGTTGATTGGCAGTTAGACTTTAATAGTTCATCTTTTATTATTTATATAGGCACGAACTATGTGTAATAGACCAAGGGAACGATCGTATGATGATTGGGTATTTAAAACTGTCCAATAAGTGCCGTTCGCCAATATCATGATCATTAAGATACGCCATTAATAACATCAGTATTCAAGTCTTTTTTTTTTATATAATTGGTCACCCAATACAAGACCAAAGAGTCGCTGAATTAGGTTGTTGTAAGGGCCTAAAAGGACAAAGTAAGAAGTGCACATTTTTGAGGGTATGTGGTAGAAATAACGGTGGATCCTAGACCTTAAGAGGTTAACATTGTAGTGATCGAGGAAGCAACCTCTCGGGAGTCTGCTTTACTTAATAACATTTCCGAGGAAGAAGCTGTTCAAGCAGAACCTCCTCCTTGCCAATAGAATACGACCATAATGAGGATGAGTCCATCTTGTATATTTATAACGATTATAAACGCGGGAAATCGAATCGGAAGGCCGAATTCAAATTCTACTCGAAGGTGTTGTGTTCATTTCACTCTAATGCCCTTGCGAAAGGCATACATAAGTTCACTCCCAAATATGCTATGGGTAAAATAGTAGGGCAGACTAATTGTTATTACACTTGTTAGGACAAACACTCTAATGTAGGAAAACTTTGAATTTAAAACCTTAAAGAAAACAACGGGAACTATTTTACTAACTTATCTAAGGTGAATCATGATAATGCATATTTCTTAATGCCATGTTGCTCCAGGGTGTAGGCGGTCAGGGCTCTCCATAGCTTTCTTTTCTTTATTATCACTTGTTTGCCATAGCATCTTGAGAAAGATTGTCGAATTGTTTGCGGTTCAGAACATTTAATCTATACTGGTTGCTACTCAAAGCGAGATAACCCAGGCTCCTTTACTATTTAACCCATAGCGAGAAGATACTGATTCATACATTTCCCCAAGGTATTTGAGTGAAAGTGAACGCATCAGACTAGGTCCGAACTTGCACTCGGCTCACTGATTCTACTTCTG